GGATCAAGGTGTGGTATTTGCACTTGAAACAAAGTCTGAGCTGCCCATAGTCTTAGTGAAGTCCCTTACCTTTACAAAAAGATACTCAGTTGCAGAGCAAAAGAGAGAACAGTTAATACAAAATTACAAGACATCAATGCTACTTTTAATTTACTCTTACAATATTTGATGTTTGAGATAAAATGGCAGCTCACAAAGAAAAAGTTGAACATGAGATCTAAGCTATTATTAAATAAAGCTCCTGGCAATCTTAGTTGCAGAAATAAGTTTAAAACATGACCAAAGGACATCATAAGGGTTCAAATAACAACAGATACAGAAAGAATGAATGAACCACCTAAAATGTTTCACTTCTCTCAATAAAGCTGAGCCTTAGGGGAGCCAACTTCAGAACATCAGAGCTTTGTCATATGGGGAGAGAACTCTCCAGAGAGGACAAACACACTAAACAAAGAAGCGTTAGATTGAAAGATTTTTTTTTTTCCCCTGCTATTAAATGATGTTTTGTAGCAAATAATAAAAACACCAAGAAGTTATAAAAATACATAACTAGAGCCTAAACACCAACAGAACCACTTTCCTTTTCTGCTGCTTTTCTACACCAGATTTGATGCTATACCCTTGTTCTCCACTCCTCCCAAAACACCCATGCAATCAAAAGTCCCCTTCCAAAGGATACAAATTTTAAAACTTAGAGCTAAATTTGAGGTAATTTTAATTCAGCATTCCTCCTTGGCTGTAAACAGGCAGAGAAACTCCAACACTCACTAGTACACCTCGTTATATTGCCCAGGCCCTTTCCACAACATACAGCAAAGAAAGCAAGAGAACAATATAGCAGGAGATGGAGTTTTCAGGGTTATTTCAGGAGGGAAAGTAATTGAAGCATAAAGAGAAAACCCTGCCAGCTCATTCTCACATTGACTTTAAACCACATTCCTTACAACTTCAGTGAAACATGCACTACTTGCGGTAACATGTAAAACAGAAAACTGAGCAACAACAGCATGAGGAACTAGGAATTAATAAGATTTAAAGCAAAATTCCTTGTGAACATCAAGAAGCAGCAGCAACAAAAGCTTGACACTGAAACACAGATTTCCCCATCAGGTTCAGTCTGGGTCAATAGATCAGAAAGTGTTTGGATTTAAAAAACAAACCCAACCAGCATCGCCACAGCTATCTTGAGCTATTTTGACACCTCAGTGTATAGAAGCTTGTCAGTGGTCACAGTGCTTAAAGATACAAAGAGGATTAACAGCTGCTGAAATGCTGCCAGCCTAGATGAATGCCAGTGATACCTCTGATGAAATGGAGCAGGCCAGCAGAGGCCTTGACAAATGCTGCAGACGACAGCCGGGGATTAGATGGCACAATCTGCCTCGCACCTGACAGACGTGTTGCTTCCATCCCCTTTCCCGACATCCATGCTCACCAGCTTCTAGAAAACCTCCCTCTGCAAGCTCCACTGCAGCCGAAAGGAGCACGAGAGGTGGTGCTGTGTGGTAGGAGAAATACAGTGTGCTCCAGGAGTAGGAAACAGCACCAGTTTGGGAGAAAAGGGGAAAGGAAAGCAGAGGTTGCTTCTCATGTACCAAGTGTCAACTGGGAGACATTCAAATTCTTTCCTTCCAACTGCTCCCGAAGCCAGATGTAAGACCTCACACCAT